TCCACATCTGGGACCCGAGAACATCTCATTAGGTACATGATTTTTAAACTGTGTCCCTTGAACTTAGAGGTCAGGATGAGGAGAGATGCCTAGCACACAGGCTCCCAGCTGCCTGCTCTGCTTAACAGAGCATCTCTGTTTCTATCTAGCTTGTATATTTGGGCTCCGTGTGAGAAAGCATTCGAAGACACAGTCCTGCAGTTAATATACAGTTTGAAAATGCCAACACATTCTGTAATCTTTAAGGTAATTTTCCACTAAAAGAGCAAAATCTATGAGCTATTATTTCTTGAATTATTATCTGAGCATTCATTTATTTATCTTCCATCTCCCCTCTATTAACAATGGTTTAGTGGCAGGGGGGGAAAAAGAACACAAGTCTCCTGGCTCCCAATCCAGTGCTTACTCCAATATATAAATATATCCTCCAATACATCACAGATTTCAGACAGGGGCAGAGAGACAGAAGATACAATTCCTTTCATCCTAGTACCAAATTGTCAGGGCCTTGTCAGTTTTCACCAGTTTTCTATTCTGCATTTTAGAAGGGATTAAAAATCTCTACTGTAGGGAACAGGACAGGAGGTTGTCAGACACTTAGAGGGCTTGTCAAGTACTTCAAGGGCTCGTCACACATGCTCTACCATCTTCAGGGCAGAATGGCTCATAAGACTTTAATTGTCCAGAGTCCTAGCCATTCAGTTCTGAGCTCCTTGCAGGAGCCACAAGCTCAAAAGGCCACGATGCTAAACTAGGCAAACAACTTCAAAGTCAAGAGGCTAAGAGCTGAAGGATTGGGGCAAATCAGAGAACGGAAGCCCTTTGGTGCCTCCTAGAACAAGCAGAGCAGATATGGATGTGAAAGGCACCACCAAGGCTCAAATATTTCCTGCTTCCCTGTGTTTGCTTTCTTGTTCCTCAATCATGGCCCCATGCTCAGAACACGAGCTCTTAGGCCTTAACCAGATGGACCATTTTTCTTTTTAAACGTATTTTTAGAAAAAAAATTTTTTTTTTTCTGCTGGATAGAGATGAGTGATCTCCAAAAGGTTTCATTTCCTTTCTGAGTCAGGTTCAGCCTCACGGAGCTCAACTTTCAATTTCTGCTTTGCCATTCCCTGAGCACTCAGAGGTCCTCCCGTGATGCCCCCTCTATTTCAAGAGCCCCCCAAAATATGCCAAGTGACTACAGATAAGTTTTTGGTACTTTCCAAAATTAAACTATTTCCCTTGGTAAATTTCCACTGAATGAGGTCATTAATCTAAAAACAGGATGTGGCACATGAAGAGAGTGAGGTGAGGTTGCCTATTCACTTACACTGGCTGGGGCAGAGAAAAGGGATGGCTGGGAGAGAGGTGGGACCAGGGAATGGCTTTTTCAGTTTCCAAATCCTTCAGGGATTGGACTGAGAATCAATGGATTTTTAAATCACTCTCAAACTTTCAATCTTTTTCTCTTAGAATTGAAAGACCCCACAGAGGCCACCTCTGATTAACCTTCCAGACTGCCTGTCTTGGATGCCCTGGAGACCCTCTGCTGTGGGCAAGCAGACATCTTCCCTCCAGGTAGGAACCTGAGGCTCTCCTTTCACCGGCAGACTCTATCTGGCTGCACCAGCTTCTCCCTCAGAAGAGCTTCTGCCCCGGAAGGGTAAGAGGCTTAAATACATCCCAGGTTGAAAAAAGTACAAAGAAACCCAAAGGAATAAAACACAGTTCCTAACTCCAGCTGGGTGTCAAGACAAAATATTGGACCCTAATAATAAATAGAATGTAGTGGGTGTCTCTGAGTAACTAAAATAAAACAAAACCAACAAAGTTTTGGTTGGTTTGGGCAGCCTCACTCCCTCAGCTAACAGTCTTGCAAATTTTGGAGGTCTGATGGAGGGCCGTTATCAAATTCACAGAAATAAAGGTTGTTCATATCCTTTAAACAAGAATTCTATTCCAACACCAAGTTCCATTACTATTTTGATCGAAACACACAAATCTACAGGAAATAAGTGGCTCTGTGTGTGTTCAGATGGAAAACAAAACCGATTCCTTAAAACATCCAGTTTTTTAAAGCACCTGCCTTCGGAACTGCTTTGTACTGCCTCTTTGCTGACTGCTCCAACCCAGTAAGCTTGGGCAAGCCTGGCATTGTGCAAGGCTCTTTGCAGAAATCCAAGAGAGCTGAGACTCGGGTTTTAATACTGCTCACTCCATTCCCACGCGGGATTTCAGGCTGGGGACGGGGGTGGGGCTTCAAGTCCCAGGTCTGCATTCGCTAATTCTGCGAACACTTGAAATTAGTCCTTTTTAGGCGCCAGGAACACAGGTCGGGGAAGTGGGGATAGCAGCGTATCAGTCCCCACAGGGAGAAAGAGCCTGCGATGCCACAGTCCCGCCTCCGCCCGTTTCCCTCCCAGGGGAGCGCTTGCCCTGCCCCCGTGGCGGCCTCGGGAGCCGGTTGGGGCTGCGGAGACCCGCCCCGCCCTCCCCGGCTTCCGCCGCCGGGGCCACGTCCTCTTCGCCCACCGGAAGTTACCGCCGGGCCGCGGAGAGGCGGCGGCGGCGGTGGTGGCGCTGAGGTTGGTTGCGCTGCGCCTGCCCCACCCCACCCGACGCCAGGCAGTCCCGGGACTGCCGGCGGCTCCCTCGCCCCGGCCCCTCCTTCCGCCCCCGACGCCGCAGCCCCGCTAGCTCTCGCGGGGGTTCCCCAAAGGCCGGCCTCCCAGGGCGGCCCGGCCTTCGCAGCTGCAGACCCGCCCCCGGACTCAGGGTCCAGCCCATCCTGCGGCACCCAGGGCACCCCTGGGGCTCGCTTATCCTCGAACAGTCCCGAACGCTGGGCACGCAACAGATGTGGCAGTAGCGAGAGGACAGCCACCTGCCCTCGGAGGGCTCACGGGCAGGGCTGGGGGATACTGACAGGCAACCCAAATCACCGAGCCGGGCCGTGGTGGGGTGCGGGGCGCTGTGCTCGGGTTGCGGGACGCGATGGGATCACAAAGCCTGGCGTCCAAATTCATTCGGGGTGGGAAAGCCACTCTGGTCCAGGTGCGCCCCGAAGGACAGGTGGAAGGTTGGGGAGATGTGCGTACGCGGCAGAGACGCTCTGCGCGTGCTGCCCCCCGTGGGTGTGCACGGAGCTGGGAGTGGTGGAGGTTCAAAGTGGAAGGAAAGAGGTCGAAAAGATTATTAAAAAACAGCCAAAGAAATGGGGACTAGCGGAAGGAGCAGGGATGCAAACACACGGAGTTGGTGCGGGAAGCCAAGGAATGGAAGGGAATTCCAAAGGAGGGTCTGGGAGTCCTGTCAGGTGCTGGCCAGAGCACTGGTTGGACAGAAACTGGGAATGTCCCAGGCCATTTGTTGGCCTCACCATTGAGAACCTTGGGGAGATTGTTCCCTGAAATTCAACTGAGGAAGTAGAGTGCCTGTGTAAACAATCTTTTCTAGAAGTCCTGTTAAAGTGAGGAGTTGTAGGGAGAGGAATTTGGGGTGAGGGTGAAAAGTGATTTTGGGCACAATGTGTGCTTAAGGCACACGCTCTGGGTTCTGGAGTTCCCACTCACTATCTGTGAGACCTTGGGTAAGTCCCCTAACCTCTTTGTGCCTCACTTCCCTCATCTGTGAAATGGGGTGATGATGACAATACCTGCCTCGGTTCCTGTGAAGGTTAGCTGAGATGGTGCTGGTAAAGGTGATTAACAGTACTAAAAGGTAGTACCTATTATTTGTCACTTTTATTTTAGAAGAGCTTGGGCATATTTTGATGCTGATAGGAAGGAGTTGGTAGAGAAGGAGGCATTGATGCAGGGGGAAAGAAAAGGGACTAGAGAGATAAATCAGGTTCCTGTCTAGGCCAAACCAAGGGAGGAGGGAATAGATGGGGCTCTGGGGAAGTTTGCAGGTTTGGAGTATGTGATTAAGGGGTAGTCTTTTCTCCGAAGTAGTCCTCAGGACCATTTGCTGAGAGGCAAGCTAGGTGAGGGAACAGTTCCTAATTTACACTGCAGTAGTTCATGTCCTCTTTTGCCAACAGCCCCTGGCAGCCCCAGTATTGCCCCAGGGAAGGGGATCAATTGAATTTAGGGTCAGAGGACAGCATCTGACCTTCCTTGCCCACTTGTGAGGTTCAAGTAAAGTTGATGGATGCCAAAACACTAGATAAACACAATTTACCATTTTAATTATTTTCCCTGATCTTGAGTAGCTGCAAGGGCTGTAGCAATCATCAAAATACAATGTCAAAGCCTTTTCAGCACTTCACTTGGGCTGTGCACCATGCCACAATTCCACCCACCATCTCATTTAGTCATCACAACAGTCAGGTGAAGCAGGTGCTGTTATCCCCATTTTACAGATGCAGAAGCGGGGTTCAGGGAAGTTAAGGACCTTTTCCAGGACCCACAGTTAGTAAGTGGTAGACTCGGGATCCCAACCCAGATTGGTCAGCCCTCAAAGCCCATATTTTGAAACCACTGTGAAAGTTTGCAAAACCCTGGTAGCAGCCCAGCAAGATAGAAAGATGTAGAGGGATCATCTTTTCCATTTGATAGATGAGCAAACAGGCTGGATGCTCTGACCTCCATCCTGAGTTCCCTAGACTCTACCAAGCAGCCTTGCTTTTGTCTCTTGTGTGGGTGGAAGAACGCAGAATTTGAAGTCTCACAGACCTGGTGCTAATCCTGCTCCACCACAAGGGGCTTGTGACTTTGCACCAGGCATCTGGTTTCTCTGTGTCTGAATGTGGCTGCAGAATTCCTGGCAGGTTTGCTCTAAGGTTGATGTAAAGAATAGGAAGGAAAATGTTGCCCAGTGCACAGTAGACATACCAGGAGCCATAGTTTCCAGGCAACCATGGATTTTTGTCTCATCTGGCCACTAAGACAGACTCTCTGTGACTTGTATTTATTTAGATCTTTGTTCTCCTCAGGGCTGGGAAGTGGTAGCACCTGACCCAAGTATGTGGCCACTTATGACTTCCTGAGTGGGGCAGTAGGGGGAGGACCCTGAGCAGCCCATGGTCCTGAGGCCTTACTTCAAAGGAGAGGAGGGCCCTATGCCATCAAGGGGACTGCTGAGGAATGCCTCCCTGCTGCCTCTGGTTGCCTTGGCCATAGGGTCCCAGAATCTTAGAGCCCAGAAGAGCCTTGGAGATGACCTGTTGTAACTTTTTTTTTTTTGCAGATGGGGTTGCTGAGACCTGCTGTGAAGCAATGCCTTTTACCTGAGACGCTCTGGACAGGACAGAAGTAAAGCACCTGGAACCTGCATTTTTGGACCTGCCTCCAGAACCCTGGGAATTTCCACCAGGGTGGTGAGCACCCCCACTGAGAATTCCAGGCTGCTCGGAGGTCCCTGAACACAGATAAGCTGACAGCTGTGGCTCTCTGCTGACGTCCTCCGGGGTAGGAGGTGGAGGAAGCCAGTGGCAGCCCAAGGATCTCCAACAGGGGAACTCTAACTGTGTTTCCTGAAAGTTTGTGACACAGGTCTTTTTTTCTTTCTGACTTGCTGTCTTGCTCTGTCTCACTCTGAAGAATGATTGGATACTCTGAGAGCCTTCAATCAGCATCCAGGGGATTTTTTGCACCACAAAGGGTAATTCCTGCCCCATCCCTGCTGTGACTCAGCTGTGACGTTGAACTACACAAACCAGCAAGAAGATAAAGTCATCATATTCCTGCTCACCAGAGAGGGTGGCCCAGGCCAGAACTTACCTCTTCTCCCAGCACAGACCCACGGGGCTGGTCCCCTCTTCAGAGGAGCTAAAACAGACCCCCTGGCCAGCCTGGGACCCCGGGATGGCCTCTGGTTCAGCCAGCAGCCCTCACCTGGCCCCTGATGAGAATGAGTTTCCCTTTGGGTGCCCCCCGACCGTCTGCCAGGACCCATCAGAGCCCAGGGCCCTCTGCTGCACCACCTGTCGCTTTGAGAACGTGAGGTGAGGGGTTGAAGGAGCAAAGGGTGGGTGGGAAGAAGGTGCCAGGGTGGGGACCCCTGATGGGAGGCAAGGGTGAGAGGAACCTGTGGCTTTGGGCAGGAGACCTCACCTTTCTGGGCCTCAGTTTCCACACACTTTCCTCACAGTCCCTGGTGCTGCCCCTTCTGATTATCGGTGGAAGGAGAAGTAACCACAGAAAGATATTAGCTCCCACAGTAGAAGACCAGGGTGGAGGGGAAGCTTCTAGGCCCAATGGGCCTACTTACTTACTGTGTGGCCTGTGCAAATGGCTTAATATCTCAAAGGCTAAGCTTCCTTGTTTGTGAAATACCTATAAAGCTGTTTTCTGCCACCCAGGATTATTACAAGGCCCAATCAATAACATTCAAAAAAGGTCTTGTAATACTGAATATAAACTCCCTTGGAAAATGACAAACTGTTATACAAATGTATCTCCTTCCACAATATTACCCATCTCCTCAGACTGTCTGCTGGGAACACTTTGAAAGGGGCCGAAGATATCTATGTTTATACATGATATATTTATGTATGTGTATATATTAAGCTATATATTTGTATATAAATATATGTTTATGTTTATTTAAAATACACATGTTTTATATATGTATATAAGTATACATATATACTGTGTCACATATATGTAATATATATAAATGTGTATATTTATATTTAAAATATAAATAGCTCAGAGACGTGTGATAGCAATACAATCATTAGTATCCCATCTTAAGCAACTGTTTTGCACCTAGTGTGTGCCAAGTACTCTTTCTTTGCATCTTCAGAAGAACCTGGAAAAGTGGATAGTGTTCTTACCCTGTTTTACAGTGAGTGCAGGGAGGCCTAGTGGGAAGATTAGGTCAGCTTGCCCCAGCTCAGCTTCCTGGCAAATGTGCTCTTAAACTGCCGGGCACCCACAGCATGACCTTTGTGTGGGACATTACAGCTTAAGATGCTGGGGAAACTGAATTGAGCAAGCTTGAAAAGTTCAAATGTTTTGACGAAGGGGGAGGCTGTGAAGAGAGGAAAGGTTGCGGCTGTGGAAAGACCAGGTTGAGGGTGAAGCAAAGTTTGACTGGTTTTACCATCAAGCTGATGGCTCTGAGTTCATCTCAGGCTTTTACTGTGGGTCTCTTGGCTTCCCTCCCCATTCTTCTAAAATTGGCTGAGGAAGGAGCTGACTGGATGTCAGAGGGACCCAGATCTGAAGTCTGAAGAGCTCTGCCTGGCTGTTTTCCCGACGCCCTCTATCCTTGGCCAATCCAGACATCCTCCGAGGCCTCATTTTCCTCCCCTGTAAAATGGGCCTGACCAGGGGCTCTCACTGTGGATCAGAGTCACTTGACTTTGTAAAAGTACATAGGCCCAGGTGTCACCCTGGTTAGTCTAACCCACTCCTGGCTGAGAACCTCAGGTTAGAGATCCTCTGAGCCCTCTTTCTATTCTAATTGGCCATGGTCATCTATAATTACTTAAAATAAAAGATCAAGACCAAATAGAGGAACCTGAAGAGGGCTGATGCAGCCACACATTCACAGTCCCTTACCTGGACCTGTCAGGTCAGATGCATTTTGAAATTCAAAATTTTTTTAGGTTTTAGAAAAGCAACTCAGCCTGACTATGTAATTCTTCCAGTGTGTCTTGGGGCAGCACCTTAAAAGCAAGCGTATTAATACTTCGGGAGTGGAACGTAAATACACTAAGTAGCATAAGTAAGGGCTGCATCAGTCTCCAGTCACTTCAGGTCAGGTTTGGCCACCAAGGAAGCTCACTGCAAACTTCAGGAAAACATTGGGTGCCAATGCTTTTGAATTTTGGGAAGGATGAGTCTGGAATTGTGGACCTGTGCACTCATTGATATTAGCCAGCATGCTGAGCCGGGCCTTGGCCTTTGGAGCTATGAGAGTGGAGGTTGGTGCCAGGGAATCGTGAATGCCTTACTCAGCAGGATTTGCTCATGTGTCCCCAGGAATGGTGAGGATCGGATCTGTCCCAGATGCAGAGGGGATGACCCCCAGTCTGTAAGCCCAGGAAGCCCTCTGTCTCAGGAGAAGGTATGTTGGCACAGCCAGGAAAGCATATTGGTTTGTTTTCTCCATTGTTAAGAATGAAGCCAAGTAGGCAGCTGTGCACACAAGCAAGCCCTGGGAGGCATCTCCCTCCTTGTCTTGAGTCTAAACCAAATTCATTTTGTAAGCAGTAAGGAGACTGACATTCATAGGGGTAAAGTAAAAAAGCCTCCTGGCTGATCTGTGACAGATTCGGAGAGAGAACACTCGTCCGTCCCAGGGATCTACAGACTACCTGCAGGCCAAATCCACTTGCCACCTGTTTTTGTATAGCCCAGGAGCTAGGAATGGTTTTTATATTTTAAATGCTTTTAAAAAGTCAAAAGAATTATATTTTGTGACACATTAAAATTATATGAAATTCAAGCTTCTGTATCCATAAAGTTTATGGCTACTTTTGCCCGATAGCATCAGAGGTGAGTAATTGCAATAACAGAGGTTTCAAAGCCCAGAGTATTTACTTTCTGGTCTTTATCTAGACAGCTTTTTCTATTCCTTCTTGCCATCTGGGAGAGGCCATTATCAGCTCACCTGTCAGGCTCTGCCACCTGTGCTTCTAGGAATAAGAGACCGCTTTGGAAGTGTGAGGGGACAAAGAGACATTCTCAGGCATCACAGTAGAACCCACGACCTCCTGAGGTGGAAGAATTCTAACCCAGAGGTTCCCCATTCCCACTAGTTCATGAAAGGATGATGAAAATAAGGAAATCATAGTGGGTTTTTAATTAAATTCCTTCCATTTATATAATCAGCCTTTATTCTGATACTGTGCCCTTCCTAAACATGTCTTCGTGTAAATGAAATATTGATAGTAGATGATAGAATTTTTGGTAAAGCCATTACTTGGTTAAAAGAGATTGCAATCTTTATGTTACTCTCCCAATTTAAAAAACAAACAACATTGTATTGGTCTATGAATACAACTATAAGAACCACTCCTCTAAATCTAACGCCCTCATCTTCCAGTTGGGCCCTGACACCCACTGGGGAATCTCAGTGGGACTCCAGTGACCAGTGTCCCAGTGCTCGGCCACCTTCACTGTCCACACTGTGAGGCACCCAACTTCTTTCAGCCAAAGCTCCCCTCTTCCCCCACATCATGGCCCAGGGGTTAGGATGGCTCTGTGTAATTCAGTGTGTGGCTGAGATGGCTCCCATGCCTGTCTCTCCATCTGTAAAGTGCAGAAGCTCAGTTGGCGGTGCCGAGTCCTTCCCAGGACCTGTGACATCCAGATTAGCAGTCAGTGGCCGGCATGGCAGCTTGCCATCCCACCTGTGGAAAGCAGAGGCAGGCACATTTCCACACTTCCTTCTCCCTTCTCCAGAGTTGGGAGACTTTCTTGCCCCACCCATATCTGGTTTTGAGGGATCTCCCATGTCCTCTCAGCCACCCCTCCCCCACAAGCAGTCAGCAGAATAATAGTAAGAACCCAGTGCATATTCCCAGAACTTAACACGCTGCTACCAGGTTCGAACTAATGAGAGAACTTAAACCATGGAATAAACCTCCCAGGCCTCCCAGTTTGAGCTGAGCATCTAATTGGAATAACCATGAGACATGAGCAGAACCATAGTCCTGCCTGTGGCTGCTGGGCTCCACCCACAAAAGAGAGGGCTTGGGCTAAATGGCTTCTAAGGTCCCTGCTTCAGTGCTCCAGGACTGTTGTTTTTAACTTATTTTATTCCTGCCTCGACAAAATTAATAGACATTCATTGTACAAATCTTAGATAATATAGATAAGAGATCTTTTAATATCTCTAATCCAGTGGTTTTAATTTTTTCATCTTTGTTAACATGAAATCAGGTGAAAATAGAAGGGCTCTGATTAAGGGGGAGCCTGACACCCCATCCTCTTAGTTACCCCATTCCTTTCCCCTGTTCCAGTCCTGAGGGACTCTGGCGATGCCTGCCTGAGGTCATGCAGAGCACAGTTTGAAACTTGCTGCCTTAAATCAAATGAAGTGGCTCTAATGGTGGAATTACAGGCACTCCAACAGGCTTCAGGGTGGGGGTGCTGCCTTCATTGGGGCACAGGCTTTCTGGATGCAGGCAGACCTTCGAACAGCATCAGCCTCCTCCCACCCCTGGCTTCCCCACCCAGTGCAGTCATCACTGTACCCACAATGGAAAGCTGGGGGCCATGCAGAGCACCAAGCCACATTGTGGAAAGACCAGGGACTCCAGTGGCTCCTGACCCTGAAGGGAACTTTGGGGGACTTTTGACCAAACAAAGTGGCTGATTATAAGTCAATACTTTACATATGTAGTCACACCAAAGTTTGTGCATCACGGGAAACCTGGGAAATGGAGGTGGAGTGGCCAGAGACCAGCTGAGCTAAGCCCAGAGACACCCATCCTTGCAAACACTTTCCATGCCTTCTGCTCATCAGTTTGTCCTCATCCTCTGACTTCATTAGATTAGTATCTCTCTAAGAAGTGCTTAGAGTCAGGGACCGATTAGCTAATGTAAGAAGCAGATACCAAGATTACCTTCACGTAGAAGTGACAATAAGTAAGGGGTGATCCAGTGGCTGAAAAATAACATTCAATTCCATCTGCCTGCAACCCTGTGAATGGGGTTGTTTCTTACTCTTTCCCTCTGAGGCTGCTCAAGAAGGTCAAAAGCAAGCAGGCATCTGATGCTGGTGGCTTACAATAATGCCTTAGCTTATTCTAGAATCAGCAAATGACAGGAGGTCAAGCTGTCTAGTCCAATTTCCATTCTGTACTGGATTCCTGCCAGGTGGCTTTATGTCCTTCCAGTGACAGGGAGCTCATTATCCTGTGAAACCACCACTCCCACCATGGGGGACCCTGACTCTTGCACAGTTTTCCCCTGAATTTGTCCTGAGCTGAAGTCTGTTTCCCTTGGAGCCACAAAAGGCAAGTCAGTCAGCCTTCTGCCCCCTGGGCAGTCCTTCATCTGTGGAAAGGCACTGACCACATCCCTCTGGAGTCTGTCCCCAGTGTCTATGCATTTAGGCTAACTGTGCTCCCATTTATTTGTGTCCTTTGAAGTGTGAATGCACAGAAATGAACCCCTGAAGCCTCACTCTGCTGAGCTTGATGGTTGCATTTATAACCTCGTCAATTCCATGACCTCTTGGATCGTGGGTGGTGGTGATATCCCTGTTTTATGTCTCAACAATATATTGAAGCTCAGGGCAGAGGTGTGTTAGAACCAAAGTCATAGAGCAAGAGGGAGGCAAAGCCAGGCTCTAAGTCCTACCTCCTGGGCTGGTGGCTTCTTCTCTATGTTGCCTCAAAATGGTGGCTCACCCCCAATTGCTTTATGCAGGCCTAAATAATACAGTCAGCCGTAAGTGCTGGAATCTACCAAGTGCTATGGAAAAACAGGAACGGGAAGACTACTTTCAACTAGGAGAATTAGGCAGGGCTTCCTAGAGGAGGTGGCAGTTGAGCTGAGCCCAGGTTGCCAAAGAGGAAACTGGCCCAGGTACAGAGGAGGGCAGGAGCTGGCAGTCCAAGGCAGCCTGACTGCCCTGTAACTGTAGAGTGCCTTTCAGCATCAGCTGGGACCTGAGCAAAATCAACCCCTCCAGGCATCCAAGACTTCAGCCAGCCTCTGTGCCCAGTGTGCTGCAGGCCCCATGTTCTGTGCTGTGGCTCTACAGAGGCAGCTCTCATGCTCCTGGCACCCTCTTAATGCTCGTATTCTTTGAGGCCTACAGATCCCAAGTGGGGGACTCTTGTCAGGACCCTCTGCTGACCCTGTCAAAGGGGCCTGGGTTAGCACAGTGGCTGGGAACACTACACACCCCCAGGCTTCTCGGATATGGACAGAAGAAGGAGTGTTCCCTCAGGGCTGGGATTTTTGTTTTCTGTTTCCTCCTCAGAGGAAATTCCATGTGAATTTTATTTTTAGCAGTTTGTAAGCAGTGAGGCCACTCACACAGGCCACTTGTGACTCCAGACATAGACCAGGCTTCGCCCAGGACAGATGCCCCATTCTTCTGCAACCCCAGCCTTCAGAGAAGGCTACCCTTGGGTCAAGGCGAGGACTCCCCATTGGGGAGGAAGGACCCTGGTTGTGGACTCAAACCCATGTGGACTCAAACCCATGGCCTCTATCTTGCCTTTGCCCCAACTTGCATTACCATGTATAAGAGAAGCAGAACCTCAAGGCCCTGACCTCTTCTCCATGACACTGTGAGATCTGATGGGGTGATGCTCACACAGGTGCCAAGGCAGCAAGCCCTTGCAAGTCTCTCTAACTATGGCAGAGAAGACCCACAGTTGGTCAGCTCCTCAAATGTGAAGCTTGGTATGACTTCAAGCAAGCCATTCATCCGGGTTTCCCATCTCTATTAAGGTGAAACTAATATCTTGCCCTGCTGGCTGCAAAGGATTGCAGGGCTCCTATGAGGTAACCTAAGAATGCTTTGTTCCTATATAAATACAAACACATGTAGGGATGTTCTTCACTTCCCCTGGAAAACACAATGGGAAAACGGAATTTTATAAAATTAGTCATTAAGACTTTAAGATGTGAAGTATTAGATGAGATTTATATATATGATATCACAGGGGGAAGAAAAAAAGATGTCCCCAAAGGCAGTGCTTAATTCATAGGGATAACAATCCTAGTAATAGTCATAATAATACTGGCTAACATTTACTGAGCACTACATTAGGCAGAATGATGCTCCCTAAAGACTTCTGAATCTTACTCCCCAGAACCTGGGAATATGTTACCTTCCATGGCTGTGTTAATCCACTTGGATTGCTGTAATGAAGTACCATAGACTAGATGGTGGAAACAACATAAATTTATTTTTCACAGTTCTGGAAACAAGAAGTTGAAAACAGGATTGGATTCTTCTGTGGTCTTTCTCCTTGGCTTGTAGATGCTGTCTACTCCCTGTGTCTTCCTATCATCTTCCTTCTGTGTGTCTGTGTCCCGAATTCACTCTTCTTAGACACCAGTTGTACTGGATTAGGGCCCACCCTGATGACCTCATTTTAATTTAATTACTTCTTCAAAGACCCTCCAAATGCAGTCACTTTCTGGGGGTTAGGACTTCAATATATGAATTGGGGTGGGGAAGAGCTCAGCCCACACAATGGCAAGAGACTTTGCAGGTGTGATTAAATTTAGGAGATGGAGATGGGAAATTACCCTGGATTACCTAGGTGGTCCAGTGTAATCACAGGGTCCTCATAAGAGGGAGATGAGAGTCAGAGTCAGAGAAGGATTGGAAGATGATGCACTGTGGCTTTGAAGATGGAGGAAGGGACCATGAGCCAAGGAATACAGGCCACCTCTAGAAGCTGGAAAAAGCAAAGAAACAAGATTCTGTCCTAGAGCCTCCAGAAGGAACACAATCGTACCAACACCTTGATAAGACTTCTGATCGCCAGAACTGTAAGATAATAAATTCGTGTTGTTTTAAGCCATTAAGTTTGTCGTATTTTGTTACAGCAGCAATAGGGAACTAATACTAGCACTTACATGTATTATCTCATTTAATCCTCAAATAACTCTGTTTTAGGGGGTACTGTTATTATCCTCACTTTCCAGATGAGGAAGCTGAGACATGGAGAGATTAGTAACTCTTCCAGGGCCACACAGCTAGTATGTGAGGTGACCAAAATGGGCTTTGCACCCCAACGGGCTGGCTCCAGAGCCTACCCCCTAAACCCCTTTAGCACTCCAAGGAATGGGTGACTGATGATGGAACTGTGAGCAGCCTGGCTGACCACTGAGGCCTCTGAAGGACCCCAAAGACCCCCTGCCCCTCTCTGTCAGCCATTGGAGGCTGGTCACAGCCCACACCTATCCATATATCATAATGTTCATATAGCACTCCACCCTGCACCAGATGTTCAGTACAGACACAACACAGGCAAGGCTCAGCTGCCGAGAGAACGCACGCCCCTCCACTTGTGGGGTGAGGGAATGTCTGGAATTCCATCATTACTTTTACCATTTTCACCTTTTCTCTCTAGGAGATGGAGATGGGAGATTACCCTGTATTACCTAGGTGGTCCAGTGTAATCACAGGGTCATCATAAGAGGGAGACGAGAGTCAGAGTCAGAGAAGGATTGGAAGGTGATGCACTGTGGCTTTGAAGATGGTGGAAGGGACCATGAGCCAAGGAATGCGGGCCACCTCTAGAAGGTGGAAAAAGCAGAGAAGCTTAGAACCATAGAGAACTGGGTCAAGCTTAGAACCATTAGAGAACTGGAATCATGGACTTGTAGGGATTTTTAGGGTCTGAAAGGTTACCCCTGGTCCATTCACTCTGAAGCCAGGTCCACACCCAGCATCAAGCCTCTGTTGTTACCACAGGCCAGGAAACTTCCTGCTGGGAGAGGCTTTCCCATTGCACCCCAGAGCCAGCATGGTATCCCTGCCCAGGCTGCCCACTGACCCACCAGTAAAACAACTGTTTTCTATTCTTTGTTGAGAACAACTCGTGCTGTAGCCCAGGGCGGTGTGGGCCAAAGCCAAGTAGCTCTTGCTGGGCAATGTGCTCTGTGCCCAAGCCAACTGCATTCATTAAGCCTACAGCTCTCACTTATTTTACCTTTAAAGAATGCTAACTAATGTGGCTTTATATTTGCTCAGCCCAAAACACCTCTGCCCTCCCCTCTTTGATCTAAATGTCCCTTCATTTTGCCCCATAAGATTATGCTTTAAAAAATGAAAGCTCTTGGAAACTCATGATGTTATATGCAATAAAATTCACTCAATTCAAGTGTACAGTTTGATGAAGGCCAGTAAATGTGTACACTCATGTGACCACTACAGTCAAAATAGTGAATGTTTCTATACCAGAAAAAGCTTCCTTTTGCTCCTGGCTAGTAAGTCTACTCAAGTTGCATCCCCACGCGGCCACTGATCTACTTTCTGTCACTATAGCTTTGCCTTTTCTAGAACCTCATAAGAATGGAATCATGTATGTAGTCTTTGTGTTTGACTTCTTTCACTTAGCATACTGTTTTGAAGTTCCTCCATGTTTATTGCATATTTTAGTAGTTTAGTCCATCTGATTACTGAGGAGTATCCTAGAGCATGGATATACCACAGCTTGTCCATTCTCCAGTTAATGGATATTTTGATTGCTTCCAGTTTGGGGTTATTAGGGATAAAGCTACGATGAACATTCGCAAATGAACAAGGACATATGTTTTCAGTTTATCGTGGGTGAATTCCTAGAAATGGAATGTGTGGCTTGTATGATAACTTTATAGGCATGGTTTGTAAGTAATTACTTTGTGAGTTCGATTTAACTTTGGGAGATAATTCCATGGGTCTTTCCAAAATGGCTTTACCTTTTCTCATTCCCACTAGCAAAACATGAGTATTGCAGTTCCTCCACATCTTCACCAAAATTTGGCATTGTCATTCTTTTTTAAATTTCAGCCATCTAGTGAGTGGATAGTGGTATTTTGTCATAATTTGCATTTCTCTGATGACTAGTGATGTTGAGCATCTTTTCATAGGCTTGTCTTCTTTTGTGAAGTAACTGTTCAGTATTTTACCCATTTTTATTAGTTTTTTAAAAAATACTTTCTGGATTCAAGCCCCTTATTTCTATTCTGGAAAATTTTCTCCTAGTTGCTTATGGGCTTATTCTTGATAAGAGATAGTGTTATGGCATGGGAAGGGCCCTGTGGCTATGCTGCTCCCTACATACTCCTTTTCTGCTGTGAGCCTCAATTTTTTCATCAGTAAAATGGGAATAAAAAAAATCTACCCTGCCTTCCCCAAGTGTTGTTAGGGGCCCTAGGAAGAATTATAACCATGAAACCATTATTTAAAACTCAAACCTATAAATAGGTTAACAGTATTACCAAGTTGCTGTTGAGTGCTGAGACCCCTCTGTGTCCTTGTCCTCTGGAAGGGACATTGGTGCAAGGCTGGCACATTCTCAGTTAAGGATGGATTGCCAAGGAGGGATACAGATGGAAATTGTGAGAACCCCTGGGATTCAGGAGGTGGGAGGTACTCGTGCAGCCAGCATGTTCTGAGTGTCTCCTCTGTGCCAGGCACTGCCCTCAGCACTGGGAACCAACTGTGACCCTACTAGGGCCCCCACATTAGTGGGGGCAACCAAAGAGTGAATGATTACAGGGCTGGGTAGAACATAGCCTGACAGGAGTAGTAGTTTGCCCAGAATCTCAGTGGGAGCCCTGATCCTGTTTTAAAGGAGGATCACAGAAGGGCTGAAGCTCAGAGGGTGGAAAGGAGTCAGCCAGGCAGAAGGAAGAGTATGTGCAAAGTTAAGTGGGACAGCTGAGCTCCTACCCTGGTGGATTCTGATGCTTTGCAGAGAGCCCCAGTGATGGCCAGCAGGACCCCCATACCCCATAACATCCAGTGACAACGTTATTATTTACAGGACCACCCGGAGGTGACTGAGGCTGAAGCTGTTTGCCCCTTTGCAGGTGTTGGCTGTTCCTTCAAGGTAAGCATCTGAGTGTGAGAATGGAGATCTGTCCACTCCTGTCCCAGATCTCTTAATTTTCCCACATCAAGCTACTCCTCAAATGCCTCTTACATTAGTGATTTTCCCAAGCAAAAGATCTCAGTAGCAAACCATCTCCTTACTCTGGGAAGTTCTTAATGTCTCACCTGAGCATTGTAGGTAGCATCACTAAAATGGCCCCCTTGCCTCTCTCCATGGTCCTGAATCATCACTGAGCTCAAGGGCAGGGCAGACTTGTTGTAGAGGCCAGGATGCCCATGGCTTACCTTGGGCATGTCTGATGTCAGGGTCCTCATCCAAATCCCTCTTACTACACACAAAGCAACTTCCCCTCTGCTAGGCAAATGAAGCTGACTTTCCATGGCAACCTTTGGTGGTAGGAAACTCCACTGCTCCCTGGTCCTCCCTTCACCTTCTGTTTTCACTGATTGCCCTACTTTTTTGGCAGGGGAACCCAAAATTCATGCAGGAGCATGAGGTAACCTCCCAGGCTGCCCACTTAAACCTGCTGCTGGGGTTCCTGAAAGAGTGGAAGGCCCAGCTGGGCTCTGGCCTAAGATCTGGGTCCATGGCCCTGGAGCAGAATCTGTCAGACCTGCAGCTGCAGGCAGCTGTGGAGGTGGCTGGGGACCTGGAGGTGGATTGCTACAGGGCACCCTGCTCTGAGAACCAGGAGGAGCTGGCCCTCCAACACTTCATGAAGGAGAAACTCTTGGCTGACCTGCAGGGGAAACTACGTGTGTTTGAGAACATTGTTGCCGTCCTCAACAAGGAGGTGGAGGCCTCCCACCTGGCCCTGGCTGCCTCCATCCACCAAAGCCAGCTGGACCGTGAGCACATCCTGAGCCTGGAACAGAGGGTGAGCATGGGAGACAAGTTTTCCTTCAAAGCCAGCTCAGGGGCTCCCCTTTGCCCCATCTTTCTCTAGAGCAGTGGACCAGCTGACCAGCCTTCCTTCCAAGCATTCTTCCTGCTCAGAGCAGTCACCTTCCCATCAAAAAGTATGTCTCCTGTGTCCCAAGATCTTCTAGGACTGAGTCAGCAGTTGCAGTCAAGTTCAGACTCCCCCATCCAGTGCTTCATTTCCTTTGCTTGAACTTCTGCGATGGGATATTCCCTCCCCAAGCTTCTTTTTCCATTGCTGGGTATTACTCACTATTGGAAGGTTCTTCCTCATACTATACTAAAATCATGTCTTCCCTGCATTATTCCTGGCCCTGCCCCTCAGAGCCCACAAAATAAATCTGCCTTTTGGTCCCCACAGAAGCCCTTCAGAGATGAGCAGTCAGTGATTATATCCTACTTGAATGTTTCCTTCTTTAGGCTAAACACCCCCAGTGCCTTCACCCCTTCATCAGAGCACATTGTTTCATGCTGTCCTCATATCCTCTGGCTCAGTCTCTAAAGGATTCAACACACTCAGAGTTGTAGTCTAGACCACTTCCAATTCCACATAAACCAGTTATCTGACAGTTCTTGGTTGAGTAGGACTGCCCCCTCCTTTGTTCCAGAGCTTATGCTTTGTTAATATAACCAGCAACCATGCAGATGTTGCTTTCTTTCCCCAGTGATGTAACATCACTGTCTTATGTTGAGTTAGCTATGGAGTTTAGTTCTAACTCCACCATTAACTTACTGAGCAAGTCACCTCCCCTCTCAGGACTTAAACTTTCCCATTAGTAAAATTAGGGATTCAGTTTTCTTTAAGGACACTCACTTCCATTCCTGACTTCCCTACCAGAACACACCCAGGAATAAATTTGTATTCTTTCAGATGTCATGGGGAAAGTTAACAGAAGAGCCAGGTGCTGGGTTCTATTGACTAAAGCCTTTACTTATATAACTCTTGCCCCAGTTAGGTGGGCTCTCCTCTTGAGGGCAGCATCCATGTCCTCAGTTCATCCACAGATTTAATGGCTCTGCTTTTACATGCCAAGCACTGTGCAAGGCATGGACACAGAGATAAAATGGGCATGGCTCAGCCCTCAATAGGAAAGACTGTCTATCTGATAGGAAAGGCAGAAAAGTATCTATCATAAGACTATTGTAAGGGTTCTGTAAGAACACAGACGAGAGAGAGAGAGAGAGAGAGAGAGAGAGAGAGAGAGAGAGATGAGAGAGACCAGCTGAGCTAGGGAAGTGGTTGAAGTCTTCCCAAAAGAAGCACCAGTGGAGAAGGAAAAGAAATTCCAGGCAGGAGGCAGATGCACATGCCTGAGAGAGGCCTGGTAAGAAAGGCATGTTTTGGGCAGCTGTATCTCCATGTCCTGCCATCCCCACTCCATCCCTAAGCTGGGGCCTGGTGCCTCTTGCTGAATGGCCTTCCCCACAGGTGGTAGAGTTGCAGCAGACCTTGGCCCAGAAAGACCAGGCCCTGGGCAAGCTGGAGCAGAACCTGCGCCTCATGGAGGAGGCCTCCTTCGATGGCACCTTCCTGTGGAAGATCACCAATGTCACCAGGCGGTGCCATGAGTCAGCCTGTGGCAGGACTGTCAGCCTCTTCTCCCCAGGTAACAACTCCCCAGGGGCACAGAGACCCGTTGGGAGAGGCCCCATAGGCCCAGAAAATGAGCAGGGAAACCAGGGGAATCTGTGACAGCCGTACTGCATCTACTTAAACCAGTGTCCGTTCAGACCGCCTATATGCTGGACTCATGAAGATAGCAGGCTCCCTGCGCAGCCATGTGGAACATGGGCTGTTTGAACTGGGCACACCTCTACCTCCCTGAATGTTGGTCACATTCTACAAATAGGAATAAATTGTTATCTACTTCATTTAAAAGAGAGTGTGCTCTTTCACTCATTTGTGTAAGTGAGAAGAATGCAGGGGACAGTTTTCACCAGTGAATTCTGTGGGACCCCTGCCCTCAGAGAAAGGTCTGAAATAAGACTCATAGGAACTAAAACAACATGCATTTATGTACAACTGTGGGTAGCATGTGATATTGCACAAATTGGGACAGTTTATCTATTTCTGGGGCCTCGGGGCCTGCCACAAAGTTTTGCATAAAGTAATTACTCAGTAGCTGTTTCTCTTAAATGATATCTGTATAACAATGTATATATTTGTGCATAAAATGTTCAGACCTGTGTGTTTTTCCCCTCACCTAAACGTGTGTGTGTCTAAGTGTGTGGATTACAATTTTAACAACCTCTCACTTCCTACCTTTCCTATTAAGCAGCAACTCTGATACATCCACGAGGGATTAAGAGAGGCTCTGGCATCCACCCCAACCACAGAGCAGGGCTGGGTCCCAAAGTCAGGTCCCTTTCCTCAGGAGCAAGGACAGACCCCTTCACAGGGCAGCGTTGCCCTCTGCATGTGGGCTTTTCCCCCTCACTTCCTTCCAAAGAGGGAAAAAACAAGCAGTGTCTCTGGCTTCCTGTTCTACTAAAACCTAAGGGGCAGAGATGAGTCAGCCTGTCGGCCTGTCCCTTCTCCACCCCTTCCTGCCTGCCCTCCCACACCCTGTCCCCACTCTGCCTCTCCCAGAGGGGCCCTCATGGTGACAGCCACTGGAACCCACACTTGGATGGCCCTTTCAGATGCCCAGGGAGAAAGCGCACGGGCCTCTGTGCTTAGTTACCAGGAGATGATTCATCCCTCAGGGGCCTTTGCTAAGGGTGGCTAGCAGACACTTAGGCCTCACCCCTGCAGTACTGAGTCAGAAACTTCAGGGCTGGGGCCTGGCATCTGATTCTGATGGCCTTTTGACAGCCACTGGGCTGGATGATCTCCAAGATCTGGGTCCTCTTGACACTCCAGAATTGAGAAGAATGCTGGGCTCCAAGCCCAGATTTCTTAGTTTTGAGCCACCGGCCCTGGGCATGCCTCACCACAGGTCCCAGTTTCCTCATCTGCAAAGTCCAGCACTCTCCAGCTGCCTCTGTGCTGACTCTGGCTTCCGCATTTCAGCTTTCTACACTGCCAAGTATGGCTACAAGCTGTGCCTGCGGCTCTACCTGAATGGCGATGGGACGGGAAAGAGGACCCACCTGTCACTCTTCATCGTGATAATGAGAGGGGAGTATGATGCTCTGCTGTCGTGGCCTTTCCGGAACAAGGTATGGGCTAGGGGAGTGATGGGGGTGGGGTGGGGAAACCTGGTTCCTGGTTCTGGCTTAGCCATGAATGTGCTGTGTGACCTGGGCAATTCTTTGCCCTCTCTGTATTATCAGTTTCCCCTTTTACAAAACAAGAGCCTGAGTTTACACCTAGTAGCCAAGAATTTCTACAGCATCAGTGTCCAGGGCTAAAATGCCTGGACCAACACCCCTAGAAGGGATGTGAAAATAAAATTCTTGTGGTGGGGTGAATGGGGAAAGCTTCCTGGGGGAGGCGCTGTGGGGCTAGCCTGAATGGCAGCATTTTCAGAAAAAGAGGAGGCAGATACCACTGCACACCTATGAGAATGGCCAAAATCCAAAACACTGACATCACCAAATGTTGATGAGGATGTGGAGCAAGAAGAACTCTCATTCATTGCCCATGGCACAGCCACTTTGGAAAACAGGTTGGCAATTTCTTATAAAACTAAACATACCCTTACCATATCATCCTGCAGTTGTGCTCCTGTTGTTTACCCAAATGAGTTGAAATTTATGTCCACAAAAAACCCTGAATGTTTGCACATGAATGTTTTTAGTAGCTTTATTCATAATTGCCAAAACTCAGCAGCACCCAAGATATTCTTCAGTAGGCGAATGGATAAATAAACGATGGTACATCCAGACAGTGGAATATTATTCAGCAATAAAAAGAAATGAGCTATTAGCCCGTGAAAAAACATGGAGGAATCTTAAGTGCATATTATTAAGTGGTAGGTGCCAATCTGAAGAGGCTATGTACTGATGACTCCAGCTATATGACATTCAGGAAAAGGCAAAACTATGGAGACAGTAAAAAGAGCAGTAGTTGCCAGGGCTTGAGAGGAGGCAGAGATGAATAGGCAGAGCATGGAGCATTGTTAGTGCAGTGAAACTATTCCGTATACTGTAATGGTGGGTACATGTCATTATGCATTTGTTCAATGCCATAGAAGATACAACACCAGAGGTAAACCCTAATGTGAACCATGGACTTTGGGTAATTATGATGTGTCAGTGTAGGTTCATCGATTGTAACAAATACACCACTCAGGTGCAGGGTGTTGGTGATGGGGGAGGCTGTGTGAGCGATCTCTGTATTGTGTGTGAGGGTTATATTGTGTTTTCCATTCACCTTACTGTGCACCTAAAACTGCTCTAAAACATAAAATCTATTAAAAATGTTTAAAAGAGCAATGCTGCTTGGCATTCCCTGCCGGCATACAGCAGCAGCAAAGGGGTGGTAGAGAGAAGGGGTGGGTCAAGAATGCAGACCTCAGCTGGGATGGAGGGAGATAAGGGAAAACAGGTGGGGTGGGGGCAGAGGGGCATGGTAGTCTGGATATTAGTCAGTAGGTCTTTGGTTCCCATATGATGCACTGGGGATATTTTCTAAGTATTAGTGGGTGGGTCTCACTACAGTAAATGTGAGGTCTGAGCATCAGGATTTTTAAAACCCTCCAGGGGATTCTAAAGTGCAGCCATTTTTGAGAATCACTACAGTAGGTGATGGAAAGCTATTTCCATATCCTGATGGGTGTTTCAGTGACATGTGCTAGGGAAGGGGGCTCATGTCACTTATACATAAGCTTCACGAGTGTAATATATCTGCATACCAGAAACTCTGTGCCCTGTGCATACCAGAAGCTCAATTCATGTTTCAGGGCAGTAACCAGCTGCCCTCAGGAGGAGATCTGTTTCTTGCCCTTCTGCCTTAACCCAGGAGATCCAGCTGTTGTTGATGGCTCAAACATAGCAGAGCAGAAAGGGGCATTCTAGGTTCTGGAGTCTGGCCTCCTAATCAGTGCTTAGTCCCGCCTATAGTAGCCCCCAACAGCCAACCAGAATTGACTGTGACATCCAAATTTGCCCCTTCCTGTTGGGTAGAACATCTTCCCTAATCATAGGCAGCCCCTGAAGACCACTCAGGACACCAGTGCGTCTGTTTCTGGATCTTGCCATACTCCAGGTCCCGTCCTTATGTTGCTTCTTTGATTCCTAATCAATCTGAGCTCAAGGTCAGAGGGGCTACACAGGAGACAGACTCAGCCCAACTCTGAGTCCCCCAGTGCTGCTGCCCAGGGCCTGACCTCCCACTTGTCCCTGCTCTGCAGGTCACCTTCATGCTGCTTGACCAGAACAACCGCGAGCATGCCATTGATGCCTTCCGGCCCGACTTGACCTCAGCATCCTTCCAGCGGCCCCAGAGTGAAACCAACGTGGCCAGTGGCTGCCCTCTCTTCTTCCCCCTCAGCAGGCTGCAGTCACCCAAGCATGCCTACGTGAAGGACGACACCATGTTCCTTAAGTGTATTGTGGAGACAAGTGCATAGGGTGGGCAGGGCCATGCAAGCTGCACCCAGTTCCTGAGGGAGCACAGTTCAGAATGGGGGGTTTAGCGAGATGATTGAGGCCCTGCCTATAGCGCCCAAGATCCCAGCACAATGATGGGCTGCAGCTGATGTGACCTGAGTAGGACTGACAGATTGACTGTGGCTGGCTGTCAGCTTAGGGTGGTAGGACCTTAGGCTGGACCCACAAAGGCAAAGGGTCCAGAAGGAGTTGGTAGCAGGATTGTTCCTCTCTGCACTGACCACACAACACTGGAGGCCCAGGAGCCACTCTAGCCCTGAAGGTGGAGGTGGACTCTGACCAAGATGGGGAGGGAATGGGGACCAGGCCTGGAGCATGGATGGTGAACAGGAGGTGTGGGACCTAGCAGAGAAGCTCTTGGGATGGGAAGCTCTCTGCACTGGGGGAGGGCATCATACCTGGGGGTTGGATTTGGAGACCTACAAGGTTCCTTTCAGTCCAGAAAGTCTCCAGTTCTAGGCCTCCTGGTGCAGGTGAGCCCCAGGACTCCAGGGGTTCTGAAAAAGTTCAGAAGCCTCCTGCCCACTGGGTTCCTCACTACTTTCAGTAGCACTAGGTGGACTGAGCTGGCCTGCACAGCACCTGCCACCTGGGCCAGGCTGCTCTACTCCCCAGCAAGCAGATCACACAGGCCCTGCATCTGTGCCTCCACCAGACCAACTCCACTTCCTTCAGGTGAAACCAGGTCACAGAGCTCCCAGGAGCAGCCCAAAGGAATGTGGAGGAGAGGGCGTAAACTCTCCACCCCCCCACTCCCTTTGGGGCATTCCAGAATCCCATGTCACCTGATTCACCAAGGTATTTACTTCTCTCAGTTGACTGACCAGGGCCTCTGAGCTACTGAGCAGAGGTTGTTCTTTTAAATATGTACAAAACCAAAGAACATTTGTTTTAGTCTCTTTTGAAGTTTCCCTGAAGGATATGGCCATGGGAGCTGGCCATAACCGAGCCACCCTGGAAAAGAACACTGCAGAATTGCAGGTGGTGCTGCAGGTAGCGCCGCAGGCCAGTGTGCCCGCAGGAGCATCCCCTCTCGGCCTCCACCTCCTTCCAGTAATGGGGAGGACCGCCCCAGACCTGCTTTCTGGGGAGGAGATGCCACACAGTGGAGGCTCAAGAAAGAGCCTGGTGCCTCCCTGTCACTGCCTGGATGTGGCCCATCCTTGGCTTCCCACCAGGAGGCCTCACACAACCAGTTCCTTTAGGGACCCTTACCTAACTTTCCAGAGACCCTGAGACTTCATGTTGCTAGCCAGGGCTCCTGGTCAAGACCCCGCTGTTTCCCACCAGCCTTCCTGCAGCTTCCTCCTCTACCTGCTGACCTGCAATCACCTTCACTCCACACCTTCAGAGTCTTCATCTGTGAAAAGGGTCCACGGCCCTGCCTGATCTCCCTACGCAGCATTGGTGACAATGATCCTCACAAAGAAGGTGAGGGAGCAGCACCGCTCAGTGGGCTCAGTGCATCAGAAAACCCAGACCCAACCTGGGCCATGCCTAGTATCCCATGTGCCTGAGCATCTGAAAACAGGGCAGCATCCTCCCTGGCTCTGCCCAGCTCACAGGGTTTTCACAAGGCCCAACTGGAGCTCTACTGCTTTCTATGTACAGTGGTGCTTTGCCATGCATGACAGGCAACAAACATGTCAGGACACCTTTTCTTGTCCCCAGTGCTGTTAGCCTGTCAGTAATGAAGACTGACTTGCCTCCCCTTGACAAGGGTAAATAAGTCCAGATCTGGCCTAGCAGGTTATGGGGACTTCTGCCTCAGAGCTGGTGTCCTGGCAAATGGCACCTTTGAGCTAACAGGATTTGTAGGGCAGGTTACTCTGAGGGGCAACTGTTGCCCTATACCTTTACTTATCTCTTATGGGAAGAGACATACTTTCTTTAAACAGTGGGAGTCACAGCTGTTCTTTGAGCAAAGCTTTGCTGAGACCTGCAGTATCATCCACTGCACTAGACTCCAGGGAGGGAAAGGTAAGATGTGCACCCTACCCTCAAATTCTCAGCTTAGTGGGAAACAGGTATATAAGCATATCATTGAAACCAATATGTAAGAGTAGCTCAGAGAAAGCACAGGATCCAAATCCTGTGGGCGAAGCAGGGGGGCTTCATGGAAGGGGTGACATTTAAACACAGCCTTAAAATATTTTGAGATGCAGAAGATAGGGGTATGGAGAGGAGTAAAGATGATGTGATGGGAAGCAGTCTTGGCTACAGGTAGGGTCTGTGAGGCGGAACCATGGCGGGGAAGGCAGAAAGGTGGCATAGGCTGGAGCATAGACGGCATCGAAGGCAGTCGCAGCTGCCCAAGAAGAGCAGCACAGGCTTTGGGCAGGGGGCCCCAAATCACCCATGTGTGAGACCCTTTGGGCTCTGAGCATGACCAGGATTAATTTAAAACATTTACCAATTTGTCTTCCAGCGAAGCTCTGCATTAAGTACAGTGAACGTTTTGGCATCTCACCTCTTAGGGGTGATTCAAGGGGAGGGAAGGCAAGACAGGCAAAGCCATTGTCTCACTGGACCCTCACAACCCCCCTGAGACAGGCATCCTGCGATCCCACCTTAAAGGTTGGGAAGCTAAGGTAGGAGAGGCCCAAGGTCAGGATGGAGTGGGGAGGCAGCCAGAGTTAGAAACCAGGTCTTCTCTTGTTACTTTCCTTCCTCTTCAGGCTCCCTTGTGGCCAGTCTGTGTCTTCAGCTGCAATGAGGTCCCATCTTCATGGAGGCCTTGGGAGGCACTGGGTCCCCCTGCTCCCCAGGAGAGCAGCCCAGCCCTATGGAACCACCAGTGCACTCTGTGCCCTGGAGGAGAGTGTAAGCACACACAGCACTCAGGCGTTCACTCACACCCGATGCTCACAGGCTGCCTCAGTGGTGACAATTCTAACATCACAGTGTCGTTGGGAGGATGCCCAGATTGCCGAAGACACTGGCTTTGAACTCTGTGGGGTCCCAGTCTAACGATAACAGAAACAAGAATCTCAAAATAGCCACGGAGCATCTAGCTGAGCGGCAGACACTGCACTGAGGGTTTACGTGCATTGTTTTAATGAACCTTGCGTAAAAATTCCATGAGGAGGCCTGATTATTATCATCCCTGTTTTACAGAGGAGGAATCCAAGGCTTTGAGGGTGAAAAATCACTCACCCAGGGCCACAAAGAGCCAGAGGCCAGAGCAGTCTATGCCAGGTTCAAACCCCAAGTCCAGTGACTTGATTGGCATACTGTTGTGGAAACAGTACAGAAAGGTGAGATCCAGTTTTCATTCTGCACAGACTGCAAACTTTTTTAAATAGCCTTAATAAAATGATAGCTATCATTTGTTGAGCATCCACTTTGCTTGCAAGTACCACACTTAATATTGATTACTGACCTGATTGTTTTCCTCACTTTATAGATGAAAAAAACAAGCTCAGAGAGGCCAGGGAACTTCCCCGAGATCACGCAGCTAATAGGCAGGTCTCTTTCCACGGTCAGAGGTCTTACCCATGTGTAAAATGGTGATAATAAATTCCTACCTCACAGGGGTGTTCAGGGATGAAGCAAGCCAACATACAGTAAGAACTTAGCATGGACAGCACATAGTGTATGAGCTTTATAAATGACAGCTGGCATTACCGCTGTAACCACTACTGTGGTCTTAGCCCTCAGTCTCCAGTGCAGGAGCCATTAGTCAAAGCCATGACATCCTCCTCCCTACTAGTCCTGCTTCCACCTTCAAATCACCGACTGACTGTAGGCCAGCACCTTCCCTTCATCAGGCTTAGAAAATGACACTTGGACTGTAGGAAGGTAGGAACCACAATCCCTTCACCTGGGGCCACAGGACACTGCAGAAAACCTGCCACTAGGAGACAGCAAACATGTATTCAGCAGGCTGGTCACCATGCACCTCTGAGGCTGTTTCTGCAAAGTCCTATGCCTTCAGCACTCCTGTCTCCCACAGGCATGGAACCTGCCTAAATAGCATGTTAGGTTGTTACTATCCAGAGCCTTCCTGTTTGAACTGCTTCCAGATGTTTTCAGAGCCTTCCACCCCAATGCTGGCACCTATTCCTTCTGGCCCAGAGACCTCCTTGCAGCTCCACAGGGCAGCCCAGCCTGGACCAAAACCTGGGATAGAGCTGGGAAACTGGCAGGGAGGGGAGAACCCAATGCAGATGGAAGCCAGACTGGGTTTCCTCCTGGGTCCTGCCAGCTGTCTGGCCCTGCCCACTAGTGCAGGTGAGAGTTTGAGTCAGGAATAGTTGTTGGCACCTATACGAACAGTGAAGGGAGCCCCTGAATGTGAGTATCTCTGGCCTCCCACCCACCCACTATGCAGGCTGGCATAGCAAGGCTAGGGAATGTGTCCAGATTAGCATGGCCAGCCAGTGGGGGAGCCAGTAAAAGACCCCCAGGCTCAGTCTTCTCCACCCAAGCCTTAAGACCCTCTTGCTTGGCCCCCTGTCCCAACCAAAACAGAGACCCCACAGGAAGAACAGAGCTAGGTGAGGGCCAAGCCTTGGGGAGGTCCCTTTCCAGGAAAGGGCGCACAGGCCCTTTGTCAACAGGACAAGGCCTGCTCCTGCTGCTCCTGAGGTTTGGTTCTATAAAAAGAAAGACAGGAAGAGTTTGTGAGGACACTCAGGAGACCCTCTTGACCTCCCTGTGTCCAGAGCAATGCAAACCTGGGAGGCAGAGGTGCAGCCAGCCTTTGCCCCAGAGAGTCATCATAACCCCTGTGCCCAGGCATCATCATGATCTTCCATTATACAACCCTCCTAACTGTTCCTAGAGCATGTTCATACCCAAGAGATCCTTTGACCTTCACAAGGGCCCTGAAAGTAGGCCATTACTCTTTGCACTTTACAGATGGGGAAATTAAGGCTCATAGAGGGGATAGGCAGTATGACATAGTGGACTACAGTGTCCCCTCTGGATCCCCTTCCTGGTTCAGCTGCCAACTCACTGGGAATCTCTGGTAAGCCTCTTCCCCACTCTGAACCTCAGTTTTCCCATCTTTAAAATAAGGCTGCTGAATCCAGAAACCTCTGAGGACCCTCCCAGCATTCAAATCTCACATCACAGGGCAGCACCCACAGCCAACTCATCAGTTCCACCCCCCGACCCTTACAGTTAAATAAGCCCTCATTTAACAGGTAGCATGTTGCATCTTCCCAAACATGGGTTATTATCAAACCTATTTTATGTACAAGGAAAATACAGTCAACCAGGGACATGAAGTGACTTGTCCAAGACCCCACCATGTGTTAAGGGCTGAACTGGACTGTGAAATTAAGAGATCCAACTAGATTTTTCACCTTAATTCCCTAGAGCTGCTAACACATGTGACTATAAAGCACATGTAGCAGGGTGAATAACAGCCCTTCAAAGAAGTCCACAGCCTAATCCCAGAGCCCATGAATATGCTACCTTACATAGTGGCCAAAGGGACTGCAGATGCAATTAAGAATCTTGCAACGGGCGACATTATCCTGGAATATTTGTGCAAGACTAACTTAATCACAGAGCTCCTCATAAGTGGCTCAAAAAAGGTCAGAGTCAGAGAAGGCAAATCGACAAAGCAGAGGGAGAGATGTGACAACAGAAGCAGAGGCTGGAACGATGCACTTAGAATATGGAGGAAGGGATGGATGAAGGCCAGCAGCCTGTAAAAGCTGGAAAAGATAGGGAACAAAGAGAATTTACTTCATTAACTTTTTGTATTTAAGACATGTTGAAATCAACATTTCAAAAATAAAATATATTATTGAGCTAGTTAATCTTTTTTTAATGTTGATATTAGAAAGTTTATAATTATGTAGCTTATATTATATTTCCACTGGTCAGCCATACAGGACTCCCATTGCCTTGGCTAAAAGGAGCAGATCCCCCCCACCACAACCCTGTTGTAGTTGGGGAGGGGGTCGTGCGCTGGGTAAGGGAATCAGCCCCCCAGGCACAGTGCAGGTGGGTTGCCCTGGTGGTGGGTGAGGGTCTGGGTGCCCTCCTCCCCACCTCCCATCTGCCTAGAGTAAGCCCTGCCTCTGGGCCAGCCTATGTTCCTGGTAGACGTGACTTTTATTTTTAGCAGCTGTACTGGCTGCCTCGGCACAGCTGGCCCTGAAGCTTGCTGGGTGTGGGCCAGCCCCAGGCCTGCCAACTCCCTGCCAGCAGGCATCTCAGGAGAACCCAGCTCCATGGCTCTGGGGCCTTCCAGGGCTCATAAGCAAGCCTCTCAAGTCCCTAGCAAGTAAATATTATCATGATCTGCATATTTTCTATGATGAGGCTGAGGCTAAGAGCTCAGAGGGGGCAGAGCAGGGTCTGAGCCATCCTCCCAAAAGCCTGCAGTACCTACTGAACTCCGGGTGGTTGCCAGATCTCTTGCAGCCTTTCTCTGGGGGCATTTTATATTTTGGAAAGTATCCTAAGCAAGAGAAATAGAGATAATTCATTGGGAAGAAGGTAGGTAGGTAGGAAGTTTAGTTTCAGAGTGTGCAGCCAACATCTCCTAATAAAATGGGTGAGAATAATAAAAAGATCCATGCAAACATAAAGCTACCTGAAAACCAGAACTGCCTTCTGGTTCAGCCCAAACTCTGGCATCAGGAACACCTGGGTTCTGAGCCCTGCCAGTCTGGTAGAGCGCTCTGGCTTGGCCTTCTCTGAGCCTCAGCCTCCTCCACTACATAGTCAGAGTAACAGTGGTTAGAGGAACTAAATGAAGTGTGGACGTTAAGTGCCGAGCACAGTGCCAGGCACTAGTGAGCCCTCAGTAATAGGAACACCAGTGAATATTTACTGTTATTCCTGTCTCCCGAGGGCTAAATGTGTATCCAGCATGGTGCTAGCGGTTACATAAGTCCTCTCATTGCCACATCACAACCTCTATTGTTATTATCACCTTTTGAAGATAGGGAAACTGAGGCTGAGGGAGATGAGGTAATCCTTCAAGGTCACACAGCTCCTAAGGGGCAAAACTAGAAATGTTTTGGTAACAAGTTTATTAAGATATAATTCACATACCATACAATTCACCCCTCTAAATGGTACAATTCAATAACATTTATATTCGTAAAGTTTTCATATATTTATATATATATATACACATACCTAAAGTACATATGTGTGCATATATACTTTCTTGTTTCTTTCATAGAATCCTGACACCGTCTAAAAACTGTTTTTCAATTTTAAATAATGTTTTATTTTATAAACATAAATTTATTTTTAAGTAGACAAAATTATAATAATTTAAATAATATAAAAGTGGGGTACATTTTATGGTAAGTAAATCATCCTGCAGTAAAGCCATTACAAATGCTATGTGTTAGCTGCTCATTATTTTAAAAAGAGAGGGAAATGCAGAAAAATATTCCAGTATTCAGAGATAGCTATTATTAACGTAGTAGTATATTTCCTTCCAGATATATAGATACATACAGACATGCCAGACAAACACAATCTTCGAAGTTGAGATGTGTACATTTTTTATTATCCTGCATTTTCTATTTCATATTATTAACCATTTTCTATACCAGTGGGGAAAAAAAATCTATGAAAAGTTACTATTCATGGCAATGTATAATGCCATTATATGGAGGGGGCAGAAGTAATTTCCATCCTCTTACTGTTAGATAATTCAATTATATCCCACTGTGGTGAACGATCTTGTACTGAAGTCTTTGGTGGTCCCTCTGATCACTGAGGAGAGGTACTTGGAGGGGCAATAACTGAACCAAAGGGCGCGTGAACAGGATGAAGGCTCTGGGTACATACTGAAATGTGTTCTCCAGGAATAACTTAGCAATTTAAACTGTCCAAGTAGTATACCAGAGTATATATCTCACCTCGGTAAATGTTGCTGTATTTAAAAACATGTGCTAATTTGCTACATAAAAAATGGCACTTAAAAATTGTAACATGCAGTTGAATCAATCTTTCTTTACCTGGCAATTTGCACTGCCATTCTTATC